TCCTTAAATTTGTTCTTCACTTCCACTGTGTATTCATAAGGGATTTGGTTTAGATTATACCTGACTAGCCCCGTGGTTTTTCCTCCTTTCTTCAGTTTAAGCTTGAATTTTGCTATAAGAAGCTGATGATCAGAGCCACAATCAGCTCAAGGTCTTGTTATTGCTGACTGTACAGAGCTTCTCCATCTTTGGTTATAGAGAACATAATCAATCTGATTTCAGTATTGCCCATTTGGTGATGTCCATGTGTAGAGTCTCCTCTTGTGTTGTTGAAAAAGAGTGTTTGTGATGAGCAGCTTGTTCTCTTGACAAAACTCAGCCTTTGCCCTGCTTTGTTTTGAACTCCAAGGCCAAACTTCCCTGTTGTTCCTTTATCTCTTGATTCCCTACTTCAGCATTCCAGTCCCCTATAATGACAAGAACATCTTTCTTTGGTGTCTGTTCTAGAAGGTGTTGTAAGTCTTCATAGAATTGGTCAATTCCAGGTTCCTATGCAGTATTTTTCTTTGCAGCATCAGACTTTCCTTTCACTTCCAGGCACGTGCACAGCTGAGCATCCTTTTGGCTTTGGCCCAACTACTTCATTAGCTCTGGAGCTACTTGTACTTGTCCTCCGCTCTTCCCCAGTAGCATGTTGGACGCCTTCTGACCTGAGGGGCCCATCTTCCACCTTCATATCTTTCAGCCTTTTGTTTCTGTCCATGGGGTTTTCTTGGCAAGATACTGGAGTGGCTTGCCAGTTCCAACTCCAGGTGGATAGCGTTTAGTCAGAACTCTCCACTATGACCTGTCCGTTTTGAGTGTCCCTGCACGGCATAGCCCATAGCTTCTCTGAATTACTCAAGCCCCTTCGCCACGACAAGGCAGCAATCCGTGAAGGGGATTTTTCCCTTAGCAAACAGTTAAGAATAGCTATAATTTCCAGTGTAGAAGGAGGGTTATTTAGGACCTGCCTCACAGCTTCCAGGTCAGCTGGGACTCTGCAGACCAGCCACTCTCTCAAGCAGGTGTTCATCACCTCCTGAACCTAGACAGTCCATTCCTTGGGTTTGTGAACTAGCTGTGGAAAAAAGGAGAAGCCCCAACTTCCTTCAGGTTCTCTGTCCCAGGGTGTGGAAACTGTTACTGATTTTTGAGTGGCTGTGTTTCTTTTCTGTACCAAAAGAGAGCAGGAACTTATGGGAGCACAACTGACAAGTTGGAGAAAGAATAACATAGTTATATATTGGAATTCGTCATCAGTACTTTCTTGTAATTTATTCATACTGATGATGCCTTTTTAAGAAACATATAATGAAAACAGAGAATGTTAAGTAAGTAAATTTCAGTGATAAATTATTTGAAATTTCCAAGTATCATTCACTTTACAGTCTGGTCATAGTAAGAAACAACACCACTCACATTAAGAAAACCCTCCTTTTCAAACTGTGCTAGTTTCAGATTTACCTGAATTCACTTTGATGCTAACTCTCAATAATTGAGTTCTATGTACGGTGAGCCTGAATGGCCTCTTTCTATGGTAATGCAAAAAGTAGATCTCAGAGCAGATTTGATAACTATAACTGTATGAATAACAATCACAAATGTATTTTGGCATCACCCAAACCTTTGTATGCGGGACACTTCATGAAATGATATCAGATGAAAAAAAAAATTATTCTGATTTTCTATACACTGCTTAGAAAGACTGCTGGCCAGAGTCTTTCACTGCCATATTGCCTTGAATAAGATCATGAATTCTTTGTGTCTACAAAAGTTGATAACAGCTCAGGCAAGCGGCATTGTGCTCCCAAAAAAGAAATCCCTTTTTCTAAATTACTATGTTGCTGAGATATTTTCTGCTGAAAGAACAGACGTGCCTCCTGTGGGGTCCACATTTTAAAGGCCTAGCTGATAAGTAACAATCTTTGTACAATTTGTCCATACATTAGCATCATGCATTAAGCAGTTTGATGTAGAAAGACCTAAGTGCGCAAGTAATTTCTGTCTCTTCTTAAATAACTGTTTATATCATGTTAGACCACAAATAGCTGATGTTTGCATTGTGAGTCTTCCTATGTGTTTATAGTAGATATAAGCATTGAAGTATGGAGTTAACGCTCATTCCTAGCTTTGTTCTTATAACAGAAGTGATGGAAACCTCCTTCATTCTCAGAATATTTCATTGGCTGAATCAAATGTATAAGTTCAGGAAAGTAAATATCTCTATTTTGAGCCCAAAATTGGTTTTGAAAATCATTGTTTTCCTCTTCCAAGAAGTCACATCTAATGTGTACCTCCCTGGCAATGATTGTTCAGTATGTTTTAGAGATTTTAGAATCTGAATTGTATGTAAAACCTAATGTTTACAAAGGAGACAACAAAATCTTTGCCAAAGTGAATAGAAACCGTATGACTGTTTGAGAGAGGTAGCATAAAGGGTAGCTACTGATGGAAGATTGCTTCCAGTCGTGAATATTGCTTTGTATTTCATGGCTGTGGAAATTCGTTTGAAATCAGAGCCAGTAATCTTTTCTGCGCATATTTAGGAACAAGCCCCCATTGAGCTCAGTTGATCTTGCTTCTAAAGAAAAATATATTGGATCAAGCTGAACATCTGCAGGCTATAAATGTTTTTCTCATTCAGTATGGGGGTAAATATTGCTATTAACTCCTTCATGGTAATCTTAAACTGAACCATTGCTTTCTTAGCCACAAATTGTTGCTTCTCCCTATTCTGTAAAGGCAATGGACTAGAATGATGGACTTCAAGCAGTGTTCTTAGGAAAGTTTGAAGTTCCTTGGAATCTTTTCAGGGCTTCTTTGATTAGAAGACCCACAAGAAGAGATTTACTCTTCTGGAAAAGAGCTTGCCTATTACTGCCACTCTTTCCTTCCAGTGCGCAGCCACATGAGAGGGCTGTGTGTGTTCCATGCTATGTTTTCCATTCACATGAGATATGGCAATGCTAATAAACCTAGTTCCACCAGTGCTTCTTGGGAAACTCATCCTAGGCCATGCTCTGGTGGCCTCCGCACTGCAGGGCATCCAGTTGTAGGCCCATTGAAATGGAAAGTGTTTTCTGAAGGGGTGTGAAAAACAGCACACTCATACATCTGAAAGCCCAGTATCGCCTGGCTAATTTTGTGACTCAGTGTAGACGTAAACCTGGATCTCCCAGATGCTAGTTCCACCTTCCAGTGATAGCACCATATACAGTACCTGTTCTTAGATACATTGCTTAGATGTTCATCAGCAACAGGAATGTTTGCAATCTGATGTATGTATGTTACAAAGTGTGGATCTGTGTCACCACTGTTTTCAAATGTTTGCTGCATCTGTACATTACTTTTAGACAAGGCCTTGTAAAAGATCTTCACACATCTGATTTTCATTTTTACATGTTCACAGACAGCGTACACTCGGTTTATGTTGAAAAGAGTACAAAATGGTTCTTAATGGTTTGTAGAAGTGACAGGTTTTGTGTGATATTCATAGATCAGTTCCCTCTTTTCTGTTGTTGTTGTTGTTGTTGTTGTTGTTGTTGTTGTTGTTGTTGTTGTTGTTGTTGTTGTTGTTGTTGTTGTTATTATTACTGGAAGTTGAGAAAGAAACACGGAAGGATCATTCCTGGAGTGAGAACATTCTGGCTCTCTCCTTTCCTTGCACCTTCCAATTACAGGTAGAGGAGGCTCACCTCTTCACACAGTCAAAGAGAGCAATGAAGACACACAAGGATAGACACCCCACAGGTTTACTGTACTGGCTCCATAACATTTCAGTGGAGCTGGCAACTCCTATAGATACAGATTGCAAACTTCTGCAAGATAGGTATGGACTGGGCAAAAATTACAGAGGGACAAATCTAGTATTTTCTGCACATGTCAATTTCACTCTCTACCAGAAAAGAAAATACATGGAAGATCTTTCTCTTGAATGTCTGCATTTCTCCCTAAAACGTGCATTTTATAAGCATCTTTTAAAAACTGAGAACTGCGTCAGGAATTGCTAGGATCTGCATAGTCTGGAAAGTGCAAATAAATATACAGTCAGAACTAAATGTTCTGAGATTCCTCATTCAAAGCCCTGCACAGTTAAGATTACTCCTGAGTAGCCACAGGAGCCAACACCGATTTTCAATCTAATATATCTCCCAGGGTGGCTGCGGGGAGAGAGAAAAAATGACCTCTGTGTACAGTGCTAATGGCTCTGAACAGAAATACCCATTTTCAAGTTAATAGTGCCTGATACTTGCCTATAATAGAAATGTTAATAAACCAGCTTTGTCACAAATCTTTCATTATTTTCTGTCCTGTTTAACTTGAAGCATTCCAAAAAGTCTAACTTCTTCCTTTGATCTTTTAAAACAAAAAAAACAAACAAAACCACCGATTTTGGCAGAAGCCTTGTTAAGTCAGCAGTAACACTTTAGTTACATAATAGCCTTGACATTTAGACGCCCTGCAAAGGTGCTTGCTATCTTTCAGTTTTAAAATGGCAGGTGAGACCATTTGCAGTTGGATGGGTCCCATGCTCTGATATTATGCCATTCTGAGCTGCACAAAGATATGATAGGATAACAGAAGCTTCAGCAATTTTCCTTATGTAGTTTAGGCTGGGCACCACCAGGTTTAGCACAATAAAAAGCTTTTGATGGGAAATTAATGCCGAGAACATTATTAGTGAAGAAATGTCTAATAGTACCTATAGAAAGGTAGATTTCTTTAGAAGCAGTGGTTTGTTGTGAGTCCACCTCAAGTTGATATGGAACGTTTACACATTATAGATTGCTCTTTATCTGAAGCCTTTAAATTATGGGATTAAACTAAATCAGGATTGCTAGATTGTTTATAGACACAAGGATATTATAATTTTAAAAAAATGCTGGACAGGTAATTCTCCAGAGGCATGTACTATTGGTCTTTCTAATTCAAATGTTTAAAAGGAACATCATTTCACTTTTTTGTGGCTAAAGATTCACGTAACAATGTTTTAAAAATGGACTGATTCTCATATTGGGACACTACCCATGCCTGCCCAAACAAAGTAAATCAACATTTGTAACATAAATGACCAGAGCCACGAAATTAAAAAAAAAATATTGCGCTTTCTGATAACATATGACTAAATTGAATTAAATGATTGATTTTTAGGAGTTCTACAGCAATTTCTGATCTGTTGCATTTTATCTCACTACATCTTCTTAAATCAAGAATGTTTATAGCACTTTTTGTAAATGTTTGTATTAGTTCCAGGAAAGGATAACTGTTTCCTTTCTGTTGTGCTCCCAGACATCAAGCAGGGTCCTCCCCGCCCGCATCTGATTTCAGTGCCCCTATGTCCAGTGGGGGCAGTGTTTATTGATGAAGTATTATATGTTTTTAAGAGTGTTTGAGCTTTGCCTCAATAAAATCTTGAAGATTAGAAGTTTATGTTGTCTTTCTCCTAAGTGATTCCTTTCACCTAAAATATGACACCATTGTAGCTTTGTTATGTTGCATTAGGTCACCTTACGTAAGCATCTAATACATTATTTCTTTTCTCTCTTTCCAACCATGCTGCTATCCAGAGTTCTCCTGGTTCAACTGGTGTGTCCCAGGATCCTGCTTACTAAGTCTTCTACTCATCCTATGCTTCAGGGAATCCTATGATAGACTCTACCTCGATGTTATTGTTTCTGTTTGACAGCACAGAACAGAATGGAGTTCAAGAGGAGAATGGAAGTTGGTAACATGGATGGCCTGTACCCTCAGAACTTGCATAGGCGGAAGAAAATGCAGAGTTTTAACATGAACAATTTAACTGAATTTACAAAGAGATTTTTAAAGAATACTTCCTAATTTGGTATTTTATTCTTTAGATAATTATGAGCCTTGTATTTGAATGGGAATTAGATTGTTTTTAAGGGAGAGAGTCTAGATTATGAATTGTGATATTTTATTTTATAAGCTATTTAACTGGTTGTACAGATTTTGTGCCAACGCAAACCATTTACAAGAGAAATATAATAGCAATATAATTTAACTTGGGGTATAAGGGAAGAACCTCTGTCCATTTTTTTTAATTTTTTGCACTCTGAACAGTCAAGTGTGAGTTCTGATAATTTAACTTTTTCTGGTTCTTAAAAATAACATTTTGTACTCCTTGTGGTTGCACAAGAAGAACAGTGCTCCTATTAATGGCAAAGACTTTCAACATAGGTTGTTGGGGAATACACAACTTGGTCCCTTATTGTGACGTATCTGCCTTTTTTTTTTTTTGCAAACAAGAATAATGGATAGATATAAATGATCCTATCAAGACATCGGTTTTTTATATAATTATGGTTAAATGATTAATTTCTATTGAAATGTTTTCACAAATGTCCTGAGTTTATTTTTTAGCTATTTCTGTTTCTGATGTGAGGCTACCCATTATGGTTAAAAGTTCACCTCCTTGTCTCCCCGTAAAACAGTTTGATACACTAAAACCTGGTCACCAGCTGCAGGCTTGGTATAGGAAATTATATCTGTTATCAAAGAATGGTGACAGAATCTGTAGATCAGGATAGATCTCTTCTTTTGTACCCCTTCTTCTTTTATATATAGTTCTGTTTTCCCACCTCAACAAATCAAGCCCTCCTTCTGTCTCAAAAAACTCACAAATCTGCTTACACCAAGGTGATAGTTTTCTGTCTAAGGTTTTTTAGGTTTATTCCTCAGATCGTGTGGTTTTCTTTTTAAGGTTGCCTATTGTGCATGACCTTGGGTTCCTTCTTTTTTCCAGATACGCTTTCAGGTGCTCTTAGAGGCAAAAATTAAATGCCAAATCAAATGGAAAGTACCGAGTGTCCAGCAATGCCTCTGCAATGCCAGCTATATCGCTCCCTGAATCTGAATTCTAAAGTTTGTTCTTCACTTCACTTCGTTCTCCATTCTCTTTGTTTTACACAGTCTCACAGGCTCATGCTTTGCAACAAATCCGAAGCGACCGGTCCTTTGCCAAAGACAGGCTGTCCAGAGCAAGGCAACACCCTTGCGGGGAGATGGCCGGTCCGTGTTTTCTAAACGATGGCCAGCTTGATTCCCTTTGAACACAAAATCTTCAAGTCACTTTAGTAACTCTTCTTACCTTTCCCCTTAATATGGATTGCACTTTAATTCTGACTTTGTTCTTTGCAGTCAGTCCCCTCCTCCACTCTCCCACTGTGTATGTGTGCATGTATAATTTGTTTCTACATACAAATGTTTTTATTAAGAGATTACTCTTCTTCTTTAGCATATTCCTGCCACGTTACATACGTAGTGAGAAATTTGTAATGATATGTTAGTCTATTAGCTATTAGAAAAGCCGCTAGGTCAGGAAAGAAATAGTTTACACAACATAGTTAAGCCATAGAACTAATAAAGTTTTTTTTCTCTCTCCTCTGTCTGCAAGAGAGGAGTAATGTAACCATCATGCCTGGAGGCTTTTGATGATGCTGGGATGTAATATTCTGCTTGAGTGAGAACTCTGAATTGGATGTGTCTGGCTTCTGCCAGGAATTCCATTCTGTCATCCTTGATTCATTTGGCCACTCTAATTCTGAAATTAAGGGAGACTCTTCAGACTTGCTACCTTTTCCTCTGTGTTCAGTCATTCACTTTGTTCTGTAGAGAGATTGAATATTTCTTCGTAGGGGCATTTGAGATTGTAAGTGGAATTATTTGTGTCATTTTTATAGCGTCAGCATTGCTGCCATTTTGTATACATACAGGATAGTAGAATGTGGTGATTTGATAAACTGAAGCTTGACAGCTCATGGAAGTCTGATTTACCTTTTCAGTAAGAAGCATAGCCATCTTTTGTATCTCTATTTAATTCTGATTACCCCTCACTTACAGGGAAGCTCTTTTCTACTTAAGCAGGATGCCTGGTCGCTTTTCTTTCATGATCGTCCTTTCGGGCAGCAACAGCTGCAAAAGAAGGAATACAGTCGGGCTGCCCAGAAAGAAGCTTCCTCATTTAACACCCTTTCGGACTTCTGGGCCTTCTTCATTGTGGAAAATTATATGAAGCAAAGCTAAACTTTTCTTGGCGTGGGGAGTTAACTATAGGGCCGTCCTGTTCAGATTAAAGATTTGCACATACAAAATATGTTCATTGGAAGCAGAAAAACATTTGTCACATAAATGACTAGAGCCATGTCATTTTTTTTTCAGCATTAGCTAAAATTGGTCCATAGACTCAGATTAAAATTAATGTTTTCCTAGGAGCATTTTCAGTTATCTTTCTGCCACTTCTTACTGTGGGAGTTAGAGGAAAATTAATTCTCTAACAACAGAATGAAACAAAAACAAAATTGTTGTGTTGTCTCTAAGACTGACAAATTGATTTCAGTGTGAGCTGTCATAGATTATTAGACACATCTTTAGAAACCTGTTTATGAGCAACTGGGCTGTCATCCGTGAGATCTCGTGCTGAAATACATTTGTTTGCCTTAAAGCTGCCACAGTATTTCAATACTGCTGAAACAGACTAACACAACTACCTCTCTGATAACTGCAGTTAGGAATCCCTGTGTGGTTTTTCTGCTAATAAATAAGTCTAGGGCTCTTAAGAAATTAAATACAAACATTTCAGATTATTCAGTCAGCAGCTTGATAGTTTGTGGCAGTTTTATGCATGTGTTCCTAATTTTTGACTGGCTCCTCTGTAATTTGTATTGAATAACCATGGTCATCCATGCTTTCAAATGTAGCTGCAGTATGTCATCAGTTATGGTCAATAAGCCAGTGAAATTGGATCAGTTCAATGGCAATTCTAAATGGTTGTGAAAAAGGAAGCACTCTGTCAATGAAGCTTCTCCTCTCTGGGCTTTAAGGTTCATTTTATAAAAATGCTTCACAATTGAGACCTGGATGCCTTAGCTCCTATCTCAGATTTACAGCACAAATATTTGGGGGAACGGGGCATTATGGGGGAAAAAGGGAGAAATTCTTTTAGTTTTGGTGGCTAACAGATTCAGATGTCAGTCTTGCAGGACAACTGCTTCATCTGTTCCTATTTCTACGCCTGTTTACTGGGAGAAGGTCTCACTAAACTAAGTAGATCTCTTCAGCAACTGTGGTTTGAGCTGATAGATGCTTGATACTAAACCTCTGTAGTCTTGTGCCATACTAGCTGTGTTGGGCCGTTCTAGGACCAGTTTTGTCCTTGTATACATAATGATAGACGAGGGTTCATAAATCTGAGAAAAGAAACCCAGGGTCCTCAAGATATTGTTGGACTCCTTTGCCCCATCCAGCATGGCCAGTGTTCAGATGTCTGCAGGGTCACAGGTTTCTCTCCTTTGATGGATATTGTGCTATGTGAGGCTGTTGTTACTAATTAATGAAGGAGATATTGGCTGACAAATATTAACTGTAGGCCATTTTTAGATAGCTAAGGGATAGATTCTTGTCATTTTCAGATTAATGGATGATTGTTCTTAAGCTTCCCTTTGTTTGCCGTTGGAAGTTCATTAAACCATTCCTTTTAGTTGAACTTCACTTGAAAATAAGCTCAAGTGTGAGTCAATTTATGCGGTTTATATGTACTATCCAATATTTTTTATCTCAGATCTACTTTTACTTGAAAGCCTGATACTGTACTATTGAAATAACAGTGTCTTAATGCAAGTACATTTGTTCAGGATTCAGGTGTCACAATTGTTATTTTCTTTTCTTTTCTTATATATGCTTTCAGGAACAAAATTTTTATCCCATTTCTAGCTTTGAGGAAACACTATTTGATCAGTTCCTTGGTCCTAGTGATGCTATTAATTCTCATTTGCTGGCTATACTTTTGCCCACTGAGTTGCATTCTGCATGCTAAGTCATGCAGTATTATAGTTCCTCGTGCCGGATGGAAGCTACTGGCCAAACTTGCTGTATTGCACATTTCAAAAAGAGTGTTGTGGTATTTTAGACACTAACTACTGTGCCAAGATGAATTGCTTAAAATAATTGGAGAGCGTATTTTTCATCCGATATTTATAAATTCTCAAGACAGAAACGGCAACTTAGAAGAAGTATTCCTTCCTATCTGAGAAGGCCTCTTCCAGGTAATGAGAAATACCTCTTCTCAGGTGGCCTGGCAGCCACACATCAGTTATTTGGCTATATATCCTAGTCATGGAGAAGTAAAAGGAGTTGCCAGGGCTGTTGTCTGTGGCACTGGGAACTTTACTTGCTATGCTTTGAGTTTTGGAGATTTTGCCTAATATTGCTTATGCATTTTCTTTACTACAATAAAGACTGGTGTGCTGTTTAAAAACATTATTTACTGAAACTGTTAAAAACATACTACTTTTGGCAATACTACATTCAGTGACTTTTCAGAATCCCTTGTATATACTGTATTTAGGACTTCCCATTCCATAATGAATGATCTTATTTACCTTTTTAATACTTTTGAGAGCAATTTGCATTCCTCCCTTGTACAGTATCTGCAAATCTGATTTGCTGTCTGAAAATCTCAAGCTTCCAGTTTTCATTGTTTAGGAGAACAAACAATAAAAACTGAAAGCTTGAGATTTTCAGACAGCAAATCACATTGCAGATAACAAGGGAGGAATGCAAATTGCTCTCAAAAGTATTAAAAAGGTGAGAAAGGTGATTGAAAGAATGGTGCAGTTGTCAAGATTTTCAATTACAAGTTTTGAACCTTCATCTCAAACTTGATGCTGTTGTTTTTACTCATTGGTAAGACATCCTCATGCTCTGAATGCCATTGGTTAAATAATGGGAAATCTTTTAGGTAAGTTGTGTCATAAGTGATTATTGCCTTGAGCAATGCTGGAATATATTTTTTTAGTAAGGTCACACCAATCTTCTACAGAATACCAGCAAATTGCTGTGATTTGCTCAGAGGTTGTTTCTGCTTGGCTTAATGTAAATGACAAAACTCATTCAGTGACTTTGTATTTAATGCAGCTAATGCTTTCAAAAACTGTTCTCACTTTTTCCAGTTTTCTTTAAATGTAACTCTTTTTATATGCAGTTATTCACATGTCAAAATCCTGCATGTTCTGTAATGTATGGTACCCCTACCTGTGTTTCAGAGAAAGAGGTTTTCTATGTTAAAATACTTACATTCGTAAGCACATTGCAGGATTTATTGTAACTAAATCCGGTAGTATGAACATGAAGAAAACCCCACCCATCTTGTCTGTGGATATGACATTTTGTAAATCAAAACTGAAATTGTAAAAATTGGGGGGGGGAGTAGCATTCATTAGGGTTTGTATAAATTTTAATTTTTTGTAGTTTTGTAAAAATATATATTTTTATTTTATGGCAAGTTCTACTTTTGTATGTACTATACTGACATGGGACACAGTTCATCAGAAGCATATCCTGCTTTTGTCTTACTGGATTAAAATAAACTTGTTTCAACATTATTCTATTTACCTCCTTCCCTTCCTCTTAAGCAGGACAGGTTTCTCATGTATTGTGCCTGGGATGTCTTTTATTTTTTAATTAAAATTATTTAAACCCAATGTCTATACCTGGAAATGTAAATGTCACCTATCAATTTGGAGTTCTGTTGAAACCAGAATCTTGGTGTTAAACATTGTGTGTTGACTTGTATAATACTTGATAACATTAAAAAGGAGGGGTGTGGATTGTTAATTGTCTTTTATTACTAGTTACAAAGTAATAATCTAGGTAGTGGTAATATTTTAGCTTTTGGCTTTACGTGATTTCTCATGATGGCAGTTGATGCTGTGATTGTGACATGAACATTTCAAGATTCCAATCACTTTCCAATTTGCATTAATAATACTGGCAATTGGTTTTACCTGAGAGTGTCTTTCTTCAAATGCAAAGATCCTCTCCATTTATGGAAGAACCACTAACTTATCAGAAGTGATATTTGCCATGCCCATGCGTCATTGTCCATTCTGTTTTGGAGTTTTTTCCAATTACAGTGGTACCTCGACTTATGACCATAATCTGTTCCAGAAGATGAACGTAACTCGAAATGGTCATAAGTCAAAGCACCATTTCCCATAGAATGCATTGGAACGGGATTAATCCGTTCCAGCAGGGGAAAAAAATCACAAAAAAACACGGAATGCAATGGGGCTGAAAAACAAACCAAAAAAACACACACCCCACACACGTTGCAATGAGTATGAAAAACAAAGCAAAAAACCAACCACCCCCACACACAGCCAGCTCCATCAGAACATGATAGGGCTGAAAAGCAAAGCAAAAAAAAAACACATACCCCACACACAGGCAGCCTCACTGGAATGCAATGGGGCTAAAAAAACCATACACACATACAGCACAGAAACCCATGCTGCAAAACAAAGTAAATGCAGTATGTATGCTGTTCCTAATATTGCCATTTTTTGTAGCTCTGATGGTGGTGTGATTTTGGAGATCTGCAACTGCTTATAGTACTGTGTAAAATTTCTTGATATTGTTCCCAAAGCCCCAATGACTACGGGGACCTCTGAAGTGTGTTTCTTCCAGAGGCGAGATGTTTCGATTGCCAAGTCTCTGTACTTCGTTAGTTTTTCCAGGTCTTCATTTTCAACTCTGGCATCCCCTGGAATTGCAGTGTAAATAATCCAGACATTTCTTCGTTCTATTACTACTGTGTCTGGTGTGTTATGTTCAAGGTGTCTGTCCATTGTATTATTATTACTATTATTGTTGTTGTCGTTGTCATCATCGTTGTTGTTAGAGTGTTGCAGGTCTCTTGATTCCATCAGAAACTTTTTCTCACACTGTGTTCTTTGTACGTTAGAGAGAGAACTAGAAGCATCATTCTGTTAAGATTTGGAATTTAGCCATGATGTGTGTAACTGGTTATGTCCATTGGTAAGTCTTTTTTTTTTTTTTTTTTTTAACTAAATGTATGCCTTAGGAGAAATGTGCTGGGGTACCAAGGATGGGCACATTGATCCAAAGTTACAGTCATGATAAATGAATGGATGATCATCATACAACATGTTGTTGAGCTCTATCACATATAGCTACTAGTATGTCCATATCAGTCATGCTGTACTAAAGTTATGAGAGTTTCTGGTGCCCCCCCCCAAAAAAAAACAGGATTTAGAACAGTTGGCCCATACTATTGTTGTTGAAGGCAGCAGGGGGAGAACTAATGTACATTAGTGTTATGCTGCAGACCAGTTAGACCTGGGTCCTTTTAAAGGGAAAAGCGGGGATACAATATTTTAAATAAATAAATAAATAATTACTGGGTGTGTTAATAAAGCACAGATAAGTGTTAGTTAGAAAAAAACATTTTCTGTGACTAAAGTGTTAAAGAATCCAGTGGGGAGGGGGAGTCTGTTGCGTTCACACTAAGTTTGTTTTTACTGATCTGGTGCCTCTCAATTACATTCTAATGGGCTGCATTTAAAAAATAAATTCTCCAAGGCTCACTTACAAATATGAAAACTCTCAAAATTATAGCTTATGATGGACTAGGAATGAGACATTATGCATGCAGGTGTAGCTGGATTTGGGTTATTAGAAATCCAATCTATTTTTATGATATTATGGTGTAATTTTCAGCACAAGACCATGACATAAATTTCCAGTTGCATTGGAACATAAACTAGTGTCCCTGACTCTTGTCACTTTCCATGGTCTTTTTGTTTGACTAATAAATGGGACGAGAGCTATAACATTTTCTCAATAAAAATCTATGATCATCCCTCAGTCAAAATGGACCCATTTTATAGCGATATGTAACAATGAAAAAAGAAGTTTTTTTCAGAACCACTGAGACTAGTCTCTTCAGCCTATGTTTTTGATCATATGGCTGTGGTTCTTAGAGCTCATAAATAATCTTTTTTGTGTGTGCATTAAGACTCAGCATCCTTGGAAATTTGGATCTCTCCACTTCCTAAGTACAGTAAAACACTATAAAGCTGAAATCAATAACCCAACTACTCAGCCCTCTGCAGATAATCTATACCAAGATACAAGTTATCCATCTTAATCAAAAGGTTCAAGGGCACAACTTTTTTTGTCTAACTGCCACATTAAGAAACATTTTATCTGCATGGGACAATACAGCATACAAATAGATTAAAATATTCTGTGCAGTTCAGTGGAGGCTTACTCCCACTTGTACGATGGGATTGTACATTAAATCTGCTATTGTGCTGAAGTGACAAACTCTGTTGGTTGAATACTTCAATTTAAAAAAATGAATGTAGTCAACAAATATTGGCTACAACATCAAAATGTCTCCTTATGTATCCAAAAGTTTGGAGCATAATGAATGAAATAAACATTTTCAAATGGATTACTATTACATGCATCCTAATGTATTTTCAAAATACAAGGCCATTCACTTTGGTTTTCCCCCCTTTTGTTTTATGAGGGTGAGGAATTCAAGTACTGTAGAGGCTGGAGGTTAGAGATGAAATATGGTTTAACAATAGAAAAAGTTCTGTACTTGAGTTAATTTTATTTTAGTTTCAAGTTTGAGAGGAGTGGTGATATGGCTACACCTAAGATCACAACGAGTGAGTCTTGCACTTGTGGGAGCATACTTTGTTATACAGTGGTGCCCCGCATAGCGAGGTTAATCCGTTCCGGATTAACCCTCACTATGCGGAATCATCGCTAAACGGGTAGGGAAAAGGTATTGAAATGCATTAAACTTAGTTTAATGCGTTCCAATACCTTGCTTACTTACACGTTCAGCGAGGATTCCCTTGCCGGCAGCCATTTTCGCGCC